CTGTCTTTGTGGCGAGCGCACGTGCCCTATAGCAAAACCTCTCCAAAAAAAGAAAAAAAATTCATGCCAGGCTCATTTGCGTGCGTACCCAAGATCTCAATAGGAAAAAAGAGGAGAAGGGATTGTGCCTTGGCCATCCTCCCTAGGGGGTGATTTCTCTCTTTCTCTCTCTCTGTTTCTCTGGCAAGCACACACATCGTATAACAAAAATCTCTCTAAAGAAAATTAATAAAATGGACCAGCAGTTAGCGTAATGGCTATGTCGCTGGACTCCCATGTAGTCTACTGCAGTTTGCATACTGGACCCAGTGGCTTAAAATTCACGCCGGGTGCGTGTGCGTGCATGCCCAAGATCCCGAGAGGAGAATGGAAGAGAAGGGATTGCGACGTGGCCATCTCCCCTGGGGGGTGATTTCTCGCTTTCTGTTTCTTTTTCTCTGTCTGGCGAGCGCACATGCCCTATAGCAAAAACCTCTCCCCCCAAAAATAAATAAATAAATAAATAAAGCACTTAGGTCACAGCAAAACAATTCTATAAAGAAAGATGGAAATATAAAAATAATCGAAAAGAAATAGAGGGGCTAGCAGGTGGCATGGAGGTTAAGGCACATGATTTCACACGGCTGAGTGCATAGTTCGAGTCCTGACCCTGAGGCTTTAAAATCACAGTGGGAACATGTAGGTGGGTAAACAAAGTTTCAAGGAGACTGGAGGAGAAATGACTGCAGTATGGCTATACCTTCTGAAGTTTCATATCTCATTTTCCCTCTCTCTCTGTTTCTGTTGAGCACATGTGTCCTATAGCAAAAACTAAAACAATTTTAAAAAGAAGAAAGTAAGAAAAGCGTGGGAGGAAAATTTCATAGTGGTAAGTTATAGTGTACGTGAATCACTCTTTCTAGCTTCTGAATTAAGCAGAATTTTTCTAAATCTTGCAAGTTTTCCTTATATTTTTAAATTTACTAAATCTTTGTTTCTCTTTGCCTGGTTTTATTTTTTTATTTTTTCTTTTTTTGGAGAGGTTTTTGCTATAGGGCATGTGTGCACGTCAGACAGAGAGAGACAGAGAGACAGAAAGCAGGAAATCACCCCACAGAGGGGATGGCCACTCCGCAATCTCTTCTCCTCCATTCTCCTCTCAGGATCTTGGGCATGTACGCACACGTGCCTGGTGTCAGTTTAAGCCACCAGGTCCGGGACTCGAACCGCGGTCGACTACATGGGAGTCCAGCGACATAGCCATTACGCTAACTGCTGGTCCCAGCCTGTTTTTATTTTTAATATTAATTGGCAAACAATATTATCTCATAAAGTACAATAGGCAGATCTTACAAAACATGACTGAGATAACTGATGCAAGAGACAAAAACGATAGTATTAGATACTGCATTATGGAAATATAAATTCCTAATTCATATCCTTAGGTAAGGTAAAGTTTTCAGAGATTATCATTTCCAAATCAGGTGTTGCTGGCTCCCTGCAGAAACGTTTTATAAAAACATGACTGCATGCTACTCTCTGTTCTTTTAGTAGGAAGTATATTTAGAAAAATTATGTACTCATAAAATTATTCTTAAAGTCTTAGTGTTATATTATTTTTTCTTAGCACTAATACAATAAATTCCTCAAAAGGAAAAAAATTAGCAATCACAAATATATTTCTTGCCAATTTTCTACCTTTATAACAAACATGCAATTTAATTTTTAATTTTATATATGACATGATTAAGTAGTGAGTTAAATTTTATGCTCAATACAAAAATTATCACAATTCTTTTCTACATTATTTGACTCTCTCTTTACTGTTTTTATGTTTTGTTTTTGTTTTTGTTTTATTTTAGTATGAATTATTCCTGTATCATATATGGCTGGGTTTCCTATATTTATCATTTTTAAAAAATGTATAAAAACAGATTCTGCATAGATAAACATGAACATATGTACAACTGTACATATCTATGTATGTGAATTTGTATTAGCATATGTTATTAATAACTAAGGAAAATGTGTTGATCTAAAAAATCTGAGTAACAATATCATCAACATGTATATTACTTAATAAATTTAGTTCTGTCTTTGAACTGATCATACAAAATGCATTAGATTATGTCATAATGATTATGTGTATAAATATACTATTGGACTTATAATATACACATTAAATAGTTATATTTTTTAGAAAAGATGAAAATCAGAAGACAAATAAGAAATAGAACAGTAAAATACTTATTAGTCCCCTGGTTAAAACTGTATATAAGTTTCAGTTATCCATCATGTTTATATCAATGTTTTTGAGGACAGTATCTTCCTCACAACATCTTTAAATGCTTGCTTTACCTGCTGGTTCCTTAGAGTATAAATAAATGGATTCAGCATAGGAGCAACAGAGGTATTGAGCATAGCTACCCCTTTTGTCAAAGAAACGCCCTCCTTTGCTGATGTTTTCACATACATGAAGATGCAGCTTCCGTAAGAGAGAGACACGACAATCATATGTGATGAGCAAGTTGAGAAGGCCTTCTTTCTTTGTTGAGCTGATGGGATTCGCAGAATTGTTCCGAGGATGTAGGTGTAGGAGAGAAGTACTAAGGTCAAGGTGGATAGAAGAGTAAACAAAGCTAAAACAAAGCTTATAAGCTCTAGAGAACTTGTGTCTGTGCACGAGATTTGTAGCAAAGGAGCAGAGTCACAGGTAAAATGGTCAATGACATTGGAGTCGCAGAAATCCAGCTCTAAGCCCATGGCCAGTGGGGGAAAAATAACCAAAAAGCCAGCCAGCCAAGAGCTGATTACTAGCTGGTAGCAGATCCTGTTATTCATGATGGTTGTATAGTGCAGAGGCTTGCAGATAGCCACATAGCGGTCATAGGACATAGATGCCAGGAGGAAAAACTCTGCTGAGCCAAGGAAGAGAAAGAAAAACAGCTGAGCCGCACAAGCATTGTAGGAGATAGATTTGTCCCCAGTTAGGATGCTGATCAGAAATCGAGGATTACAGACAGAAGTAAATGAAATTTCTAAGAAGGAGAAATTCCTGAGGAAGAAATACATGGGGGTCTTCAGTTGGGCGTCCAGCAGGGTAAGAGCGATGATAGTTAGGTTTCCAATCACACTCAGCACATACGTGAGAAATAAAAAGCAGAAAATCACAGGCTGCAACTTGGGGTTATCTGTCAGACCCAGGAGGATGAACTCTGTCACTGATGTCCTATTTTTCATTTCTGTTGATTGTTTTCTGTCAGATCTTATTGATCAAATCAATAAGGAAAACAAGAAAATAATGAATCTAAAGACAAGCAGGAGTATCAGCACATTTTTTTCAAGAAAGATCGTTTTTTTGGGGTTTTTTTTTTTTTTTTTTTTTTTTTTGGAGAGGTTTTCGCTATAGGGCGCGTGCGCTCGCCAGACAGAGACATAGAGACAGAAAGTGAGAAATCACCCCCCAGGGGGGATGGTCACGCCGCAATCCGTTCTCCTCCATTCTCCTCTCGGGATCCTGGGCATGCACGCACATGCGCCCGGCGTGAGATTTAAGCCACCGGGTCCGAGACGCGAACCGCGGTCGACTACGTGGGAGTCCAGCGACATAGCCATTACGCTAACTGCTGGTTCCCAAGAATTATCGTATTTTAAAATAAAGTATCTGGTATTTTTTGGGGGGTGTTGAGAGGGAAAGGGTATCTCTCACACACATGAACACACACACACATACACTCATTTTCTATGATTTTATTATACCTTTTAAGACATATCTCCTATGCTTAATATCAATCTTTGCTGCATGCTTTACTCAGTCTCCATAGTTATATTTTTGGAAAGTACACTAATTGATTAAAAACTTTTACTATACTTTATTATGTACCTAAAATATAAGGGCATTATATTTTTCTTATATCATATTTTTTTAGTCATAAAGATTTTGACTGATAATGGTACTCAGTGAGCAACCTGATTTTCTGTTGAAACTTTTAAATGTGCTTTTTTGGTCAAGACCGCTACCGCCCTTATTAGTTTATAGAGTGCCATTTATTTTTGTAAAAAGTCAGTGACTGGGACCAGCAGTTAGCGTAATGGCTATGTTGCTGGACTCCCACGTAGTCGACTGTGGTTTGAGTCCCGGACCTGGTGGCTTAAACTCACGCCGGGTGTGTGTGTGCGTGTGTGCCCAAGATCCCGAGAGGAGAATGGAGGAGAAGGGATTGCAGCGTGGCCATACCCCCTGGGGGGTGATTTCTCACTTTCTGTCTCTCTGTCTCTCTCTGTCAGTCTGGCGAGCGCATGCGCCCTATAGCAAAAACCTCTCCAAGAAAAAAAAAAAGTCAATGACTAAGTCATTATAAGGTCTTATAAACATTTAAACAGTAGTTTATATGAATAGTATACATAACTTTAAATTCTCTGCACCTTCTATTTCCAGATTTTACAGAAGCATGTGAAAACCTTACCTTCATTTTTAATATTTTTAAATTGGGTCTTTTAATTAACGTGTGTTTCTGTTGATTATTGTTAAAATTTTTTCAAGAATTATTTTATTTAACTTTATTTATTTACTTATTTTTAAGTTTGATCAGAGAGGGACAGAGAGAGAAAGAGATAGAGAGAGAGAGAGAGAGAGAGAGTGAGAAAGCAGAGAAAGCAAGCCGCCAGGTCCAGGACTCGAATGTGGTCGGCCACGCGGGAGTTCAGTGCCCCTAACCACCAATGAACCCGCTGGTTTCTATTTTTAAATTTCTAATAAAATTTTTTTAATCCAGTTGCTTAACTGGATGGTTAAACAGCATGGTCTGAGACTATTTAATGAATATGTTTATACCACATTTATGGAAATGGAATATAAAATACACAGATATTTTATATTTGTTACTTATTATGGATGTTAATTATTCTGATATTAGATATTTAGATCTTTCTAAAGTGTAAATATACCAATATAGAAACCAGGTTATGTCCCACATATTTTAGTTAATTGCTAGAAATTTTCATTTAAAGTATTTTTACATTTCAGTTTACATGTTTAACTATTTAATATATATGCACATGTATACATATATATGAGACAGATGAAAATAAATACATCAGAAGAATTATGAATTCTATACAATAAATAGAAGCTAAAACAGTAAATAAAAATATAGTGTAAATACTTACCTATTATCAAATGATTGATGGAATGAGTTTAATGTTTAATACCATGTTTAACTGAAAACAAATGCGCTCAGTTCTCTTAAATCAAAAGTCATGTAGTGGAACGATGATAAATAGAGACATTATTCTTTTTCTCTCTTCTCCCCCACAAAGCTACAGATTTCCTAATAAGATCTCAGTGTTTCATCTCAAAACACCTGATGAAATTATTTCCCCATGTTTGTTTCCCAAACATTGTCCAGAATATTAAATCTTCACATGTTGCACCTGCCATTTAATCCAAAACTTTTAGGTAAAAATGTTGTAACAATTAAAGAAAAAACTTGTAATATTAGTTTTTGATGGACTATGTTGATATTTCAGGTGACTGTTTCCATTAATTTTCCCTAGGAAAAAAAGCAAACCTAGCACCTTTAATGTGTTTTGCTATGCATAATTTTGAAAATATTTTTGAGGCAAACAAATTCTTAATGACTTTTGGGAAAAACAATAATAAGACACTAATGAATTTATGTGCATGATCAACTTTGGCAATTATATTTTAATTGGTCAATTATGGAAATTGTATCTCAAGAGAAGACAGGAAATTGTGAAGCAAGATGTTAACCAGGAATCTGAGGAGAGGTATGCCTAGCAAAAACAAACCAGCATCTTGAGATGTTCATTTTCTTATAATTCAGGTAGCATCCTTAAGACTATGAAAAGATCAGTTTAAAATATGGAAGTCAAAATAAGCCAAAGAACTATAGGTATAGTGATCTATGAAACAATGCTAAAATTATTGAACACTTTTAAAGATATATTATAAAAAAATGTAAATAGGAAGTATCTCTCATTAGTTGAGCTTAGTATCTAGTCTTCATCTAAAAATAAAAGAAACTTGGGACCAGCAGGTGGTGTGGTAATTAAGGCACTGGACTCCCGCATTGCTGACCATGAATCAATTTCTGGACCTGGTGGCATGCTTTCTCACTTTTCCTCTCTCTTTCTGTGTCTCACTGTGGTGAGCATAAGTGCCCAAAAATGCAAATGCAAAATAATAACAATATTAAATAAAATTGAATAAATAATTCTTAAAAAGCAATACAAATAATTCAAATTTCATCATTTCTCTCTGTGTGTGTGTGTGTGTGTGTGTGTGTGTGTATTTCTATATAGTCAATGACAGACTGCAAATATGATGGTGGCACCATAAGATTAGATTAGGCTATTTCCTATAGGCTGGATATGCTATAAGCTGTATCATCTAGGTGTATTATGGCACTTTATTATATTCATACAACAACAAAATCACCCAACCACAGATAATTCAGAACATATCCCATTGTTAAATGATGTGTAACTTTATATATGTGTGAAACTCCAAATATATTTTAATATTGTATTCAAATCTATTCTTTACATGTAAGCACATTATATTGACTTAATTTTGAAGTGATAAAATACAATGACAGAAAATTACTTTTAAAAAACTGTATCTTCTTTTTGAATACATAAATAGGAGTTAATTACATTTTCATAACTAATAATGGAACTTCTGTAACAGAGATACATTAAAAAATTCATTTATTATAGACTTTATCACAAACAAAAGAGCCCAATGAAGGAAGAAAATTACAGCATTAATATTTTCACTTAAGATAAATGTTTGCATGTGATATGTATGTGTGTACATCTATGCATAGCTATATGTATTGGTGAAGTCATGATGCATTTTTCCATAGAAAAAAATGAATATATTTTAATACTGTATTCAGTTACTGTATTTTTTCTATGGAAAAATGCATCATGACTTCTCCAACAACCCAATATGTGTGTACGTAAATAAGACTTGATTTTTTTTAAACTACTAGAAGAAAGCATAAAGAAAACTCTATGACATTGAGCTGTCAATGATTTCTTGAATAGGACTCCAAAAATACGGGTGAAAAGAATAAAAATATACAAGTGGGAATGCATCAAAATTAAAAGCTTCTATATAGCCAAGAAAACAATTAACAGAGAAAAGAGAAAATGCTTGATTTGGGAGAAAATATTTGCAAACCGTATTTATGATAAGGGTTTAATAGACAAATTACTGGGCTGTCAGAAAAATCAAGACACATTTTTGCTTAGAAAAATAAAAAAAAAATCTTGTGACTTTTCACACAACCCAATATGTAAGAAACACAAATAACTCAATATCAAAAAAAAAAAAAAAAAAAAAGCCTGCCTGATTTAAAAAATAACCACATAAGGCCTGTGACAGCAGGCCCTATCTGCCTGGGACCTATGGTTCATCCCCTCCCCTACTTGCCTTTAGACTCAGCTTTGTATTTGGAAACTTTAAGATGAACTTGCACCCCTCCCCACCCCATAGGGAGACTGGTTTAAGCTAGCAGCATTGTCAAACACAAGGCTGCCTGTGGCTGTAGCTAAGGGTCTGGACCCATGGCTCATCCTCTCCCTTACTCGCCTTTGGACCTCAGGTTTGTGTCTTGGGACTTTAAGACAAACTCGAACCCCTTCCAACCCTATCCAGACCGGTTCAAGGTAGCAGGCTGCCTGTGGCTGCAGAACCTAATGCCTGGGACTCATGGCTCATCCCCCATGTTTCCAGTTGTCTTTGGATCCTCAGAACTTTTGGCGCTTTGATCACAATGCATGCCACGTGATATTTTCTTTACTCCTGAGGTGAAGCTCATTAGCTCAGTTGGAGGCTCACCACTCTTTAAGAAAAAGGGAGGATTTGGGTTCACCCAGGACCCATGACAACAGTGCAAGATACTGCTGAGCAACAGAGATGCAGACTAGAAGAGAAATCGTCAATTTTCTACCCCTACATACCTTTAAACAGACAAAGGTACCATGAATAAGTTAGGAAGGAACATACAGACTACCAAATGACTAGGAACAATTGCAGAGGCACAAGATGTATGAGCAACCAACAATATGTCTCTCCCCCAAAGAAAAATGTCAATCCCACATCACCCACAGATAACACAATGGATGTCATGGACATGCCAGATAAGCAATTTAGAATATTTGTATTGACCAAACTAACTGAGATGAAAGAGAAAAGAGACAATGAGCTC